CTCGAAATATGAAATAAATAGTAGTGATGAATCGTCAACAGGATGTCCTCAAAAGTTTGTCAAAACGTTTCTAGGTCTGAAATTATGCCATTTTAGCAAAGGTCACACAGAACTAGGAATATTATCTACAGGGTTGGGAAGCATATTGCTTTCTTAAAAAACTTTAAAACCCATTGTGTGAATCAGAACATTATTATTAGTTTTTATACCTAAAGTTACGTTCGCAATTCATTCCTGAATGTTGAATGAATCTTGTAAGGTCCTTGGTCGGTTCATATAAACACGGGATTTCAAGAACCTCCATAGAAAAAATCACGAGGGGCCAAATCGGGAGAGCGGGCCGGCCACTACAAATCGCCCCTAATTCAGATGTGGCGCTCTGGGAAGTGTTTCACTGTCATTGCGACCACATTTTCTCCAAAGAACCAGCGACCCATAATTCCAGTTGCTGAAATTGCACACCATCCTGTGACTTTAGGTAAATGCAAAGGTCTTTGATGTAACGCTGGAGGATTGGTCCAGCTCGTTAGCTCATGTTTTGTTTGTTGACGGATCCAGAATTAAACTCCCGTTCAGAAGTTCTGCGCAATTGTCATCTTGTAAAGATAGAAATGAAGATCATGAAGAGTTCTCCTCACAGAACGATCAGAAAGCCCAAGGGTAGACGCATGCTATGCTGCCGAAACCTGTGTTGCTTTATGGCAGCGGCGTGCAACCTTTGAGAGCCACAATGTAACAAAATAGAGAAAAAGAGGGCCGCCACTGTGGAATTATTACTTTATAAATGAAAAATGAGGAATAATAACGGAAAAATAAACATAACTTTTGACATTTTTTTATGTAAGTTGTCCTTCCTTTGCATTGTATAACGTAGTTTTAAGACAGCCTCGATTCAGAACTCAATCCACGAACATCTATTTGTACTCGGTTTTCTCGCAAATGAAAAGACTTTCAAAAAGAATAGTTATTTAAGTTGTATTTAGTCACGTAGTTTCCTTCGTCTTAATTTCTACCAATCACAAACGTGTAATTTTGAATTACAAATTGTCTCTACATGGAAAAATTGTATGACAGCACCTGTCAGCAGTTTTTTCGATCTTACCCGCGGCAAAACTTGACAGCTGTTGTGAAAAAATTACCATACCTTTGCTAACAAGTAATTATGGTCTCCTAGGACACCAGAAAACGACGCTAAGCTATTTTTCTGATTTTGTTATCAATAAAATTTACAATATTGTTTTTAAACAGTGCTAGTCAGCTTATGTAGTGAAAAAGAGTCGCTTTGGAAGTGATTCTTTGACTAATATTGATCTGGTGATTGAGAAAAGTGTACCGTACAGTACCGTTAAAACTCATACGTTAATATGTTAACAGCTTGAGGAATTCTGCACTCAGAGACGTTAAAGTCGTGGACCGCAAGTAGTAATAGTGAATATCATCTTGACTAAGGACTAGCCTAGACTAAAACAATGCAAGTAATCATATTTACAGTCTCACTCAATAAATTTGTTATCAGGAAAGCATAAGATAATGCGAACAGAATATGTACATATATAGTGTATTTGCACCCAAGATAGAATGGATGCGTGATTGCCAAAAGCAAGAACGGCGTACAGGGCCGCATTCAGGGCTACCTCCGAACGATGGACTACCACCAACGTGTTGTAAAACAAAGATGACAGAATTTAACAGAAACAGAAACTTAACAAATTACTCAAATACACTTAACAACAACAACAGCAACAACCAAGCAAGGTGAATACGAAAATACGAGCACGCAGTGATATACGCGACGGACGGTGGCCTGAGTGCAACTCTGCCTGCCCCGCCCTTGCCCTGCGCATTATTCCGCCAGGCGACCGCTTGAAATTTAATGGCGAATTGACCAATAAGAGGCGTTGTCCCCACCTGTTACCAAGAGATCAGGCGCTAACTGTTATTATTTACATCTCATCTTGAATTTGGATTCGGTTTAGTATATGTTATGTTGCCATTCTTACCTCAATAATGTACTCTCTTCCATCCTTGCCAACAACGACTTCCAGAGCACAAATATCGAGACCTCCAAATAGATCAGAAACTTCGTCAACCCACATTTTGTATCGTTCGGGCATCGAAATCTGTTCTAGCATTGCAGATCCAGTATTCGTCTTCCAGCAACCTGTTACGAGAAGGATTGCATAAGTGAGAATTTTTGGTTAGTATATTGTTAGAAGCTAGGTAGCCCTTTGCAAAACTAGATGAAGGGCTCACCACCATCTTAGCCATATCTTTCTCATTAAAGGATGTTACGATAATTTCTAGATATACAGGATGTTCCAAATTCGACCCTAACCATTGGGATCCCGGAAACTATAAGAGATACGAAACCGCTTAAAAAATGAGGTAAAGTTGTGAATTTAGGTAATCAACAAAATACCGCTCAGCAGGTTTCGAACTTCGAAGTACAGAGACGAAAAAAAACGAATTACAAAAAAGGGTTTTAATATTTCCTGACTTAATTTTAAGGGGAATTTCAAAATGAATTGCCCTTTAATATTGCCACTTTTTCTCCTCTACAAGATGGCATGATTAGAATTTCAATAAGACGTTTCGTATCTTGTTCTCCAGCATCAACTTTAATTTTTCTTACAGACGCCATACTAGATTTTTACATAGAAAGATGAGGTTTTCAATTTTGGTTCCAAAAATGTATATACGTTATAGGCCAAACATTTGTTATTTAAAAAAGCATAATTTCCTAGATAGGCATTAAAATTATCAGACAGTCAAAATCACCTTAATTTTTTCTAACTTCATTTGAGATATTTCAAAATAAATTGCATGTTGTCAGTTTTACTTATCTCCTCTACAAGATGGCGTAGTCAAATTTTCAATTCGACATTTCTTTTTTGACTTCTATCACCAACTTTGTTTTATTCATATGGACGCTATATTGGAATTTTGTACATTTAAATGGACTTTCAGACCTAAATTCAGTGTTGCATTTTCTTAGCTGGCCATGCATTTGTTGTTGAATGAAAATTATAAGGAAATAAAAAGGTATAATGAAACCTGAATACAAAATGAAAATTTCTTGATGGTAATAGCAATAATCATAAATAAGCAGAAGTAAATCATAGATGTTCAAAATCTTCGTTATATTGTAGGCAAAGCCTGACTATTCTATGTACATTGTTCACTGCTCGATTTATTTCTCTTTCATATGTACGCTATATTGGAATTTTGTACATTTAAATGGACTTTCAGTCCTAAATTCAGTGTTGTATCTTCTTAGCTGGCCATGCATTTGTTGTTGAATGAAAATTATAAGGAAATAAGAAGGTATAATGAAACCTGAATTCAAAATGAAAATTTCTTGATGGTAATAGCAATAATCATAAATAAGCAGAGGTAAATCATAGATGTTCAAAATCTTCGTTATATTGTAGGCAAAGCCTGACTATTCTATGTACATTGTTCAGTGCTCGATTTATTTCTCTTTTATATGGACGCTATATCGGAATTTTGCATATTTAAATGCACTTTTCAGTTCTAAATTCAGTGATGTATTTCCTAAGTTGACTATGAATTTGTTGTTGGATGAACATTTTAAGGAAATAAAAAGGTATGGTGAAACCTGAATACAAAATGAAAATTTCTTGATGGTAATAGCAATAATCATAAATAAGCAGAGGCAAATCATAGATGTTCAAAATGTTCGTTTTATTGTAGGCAAAGCCTGACTATTCTATGTACATTGTTCAATGCTCGAGTTATTTCTCTTTCATATGGACGCTATATTGGAATTTTGCTTATTTAAATGCACTTTTCAGTCCTAAATTCAGTGATGTATTTCCTGAATTGGCCATGGATTTGTTGTATGAACATTTTAAGGAAATAAAAAGGTATGGTGAAACCTGAATACAAAGTGAAATTTTCTTGAAGGTAATAACAATAATCATAAATAAGCAGAGGTGAATCATAGATGTTCAAAATGTTCGTTATATTGTAGGCAAAGCCTGACTGTTCTATGTACATTGTTCAGTGCTCGATCTATTTATCTTTTTCTCAGTCTTTCAAATTCTGTTACTATGTTCAATCTGAGGTCTCGTCTGGTACACGAAACAGATGAAATCTGATAATTTCAAGGAGTACCTAGGAACTTCTGTTTTTCTGGAGTAACTAGGGTCAATGTATGACACGCTGTATCATTTTGAAATCAGAATCAAAAACTCTACTCATCTGCGTAAAAATTCAATATGATGTCCTTAAGAAAAAAAGTTGATGCTGGAGGACAAGAGACGCAACGTCATATTGAAATTTATTTATTTATGCCATATTTGTTTGCTACTGTACAATATCGAAATAGAAAGAAGTGGAAACCCAGGGGCTGGTGGATTGTACAGTCAGTGTCAGAAGTTACGGTTCGGGCAGAATTCTGTACGATTCTGTCTGACCTTGTATCTAAACAGAGATAAACGTGAAAAAGTTATGGCAAAAAACTTTCAAATATGGATCATTTTCAAATTGCTTACATCTACCACAACAAACAGATTTGGAGATCAAAATATGAGAGTATTGAAAATAGTGTACATAATGTTACAAAAAATAAGTTTTCGCATGTTTGTGGCAAGGAACAAGTAGGATCTTTGATAGAATACTGGCCTACTGTCTACCTGTGGCCAACTGTCATCATGTATGAATACTGATTCCTATGTAGGATCTCGCGATATTGACCTCCAGATGACCTTGAAGGTCATCATCTATGTAGTACTACGAGCCTCTTCCCACTTCAGTTGGCCCACTTCAAGATTTGTACCAAAATAAACTAAACATGACGAAACTATTTACTTCTAAAACAATTTATGTTCTCAAAAACATTTTAGATACACTCTAGTCGTAAAAAATACATATTTGAAATCACTTAGACCTATGACTAATAGAACATCTGAACAAATAAACAATGTGCGAATAAATGCGCAAAGTTAACAAAGCAACAATTGAAAGATTACCATTGGGTAACATAACCCTTATTTTTTATTACGGCTGAAATTCTTTGGGGCATAGTGTTAACCAAGTTTTGGCAAAAATTTGGTGTAAAACAATCCCATATTTCTTAGAGCTTTTGTCTCAGTTCGGTGATTGTACGAGCAGGATGTTGTCGTAGAACCTTTTTCATCTCGTGCCACAAAGTTCCAATAGGTGACAGATCTGGACTGCTAGAAACCCATTTCAAAAGTGGTACATTATTTTCTTCCATCCATTTTCTAGCCTCTTTTGAGGTATGGCACGCTGCACCATCTTGCTGGAACACAAAATCTTGGCCGGATGTCAAACATTCTTCCATCACTGGTAAAAGCGATTCTTCTAAAATTGCCAAATATTTGTTTGTATCCACATTTCCATCAATAAAATAAAGTTTTCCTACTCATTTTGATGACATACTGCCCCAGACCATAATGGATGCTGAAAATTTCACTTTTCTCTTCAGACAGTCAACATGGAATGCTTCATTTTTTTGCGAATAACTCTACTGCTACTGTCACCAACACAAACTTCGAATCGGGCCTCATCACTTCATTGTATTGCACACCATTGTTGAGGTGTCCATTGTCTATGTTCTCTAACCCATCTAAGGCGATTTTTCTTTTGCAGTGGAGTTAATACTGGCTTTTCTTTGGCCTATAAACAAGTTGTGCAACTTCAGGGTTTTTACTTCACTTTTTTGTTATAAGAAAACTTACCTTGCAAGTGCTAAATCCCAGTGGGCCTCTCTATGAGTTGTGGACCTCGAAATTCTCCTTTCAACAGCGTCACTCCACAGATCACTTAATTGTAAATAATTGGCACGCCTGTTTTTCACAATAATTCTTCTTAATGCTCTTCGGTCGGCATTTGTGATATTACTTTTTTCACATATCGTGGCTTAATATTAGCTGAACCAGTTACGTTATATCTTCTAACAATATTTCTCACACTGTACCGCGATAAGTCTAACAAAGTTGCAATTTCTGAGTTTGATTTCCCAGAATTAAAAAATTTAATCCGAATTTTCTCACTGATAACCTTTCCTCTACCCATTTTGAACACCTTAACTACCCAAAACTATTTTAAACGTATTCTGACAGCTGTGATTAATTAAAACAATTGTCATGGCTTTTGTTTTTCACAGCCACCTATGCGTTAAAGACTTATTTTGCATTGAAATGAAAATAGGTTGATATGCTGTAATTGCAACATGTGTTATTTTTATGCTGCAAATTTGATCAGGGAGTGATACAGTTGGTGTTTTCTACTATACGTATATATTATCAAAATATTCATTTTTAATATTTTAAACCTATAACACCCTGCTACATTTTTATTATTTGTGTTTGATAAGGAAAAAACTATGATTTCAATAGTTGGGCCAACTGAAATGGGAATAAGATTCTTTTAAAGAGTGGTTCACGAGTTTTAAGACTGTTCGAAGATTCAATAAACAACCCTGTACGTATACCTTATTCAGGTCCTGATGACTAAGCTATATTTTATACCTCGTCTATTTTTACGAACCGTGATTGAACCGTATTTAATGACATATCGCCTATATAATTTTACAGCTTTTGGCAGCGCCCGTAATATTTTTCTCCAGTGTTAAAATTACGAATTTACGTCGCGTCGTCTAGATGAAAAGCGGCATGATTCAATGAATTTTATTAATGTTGGTAAACGTAATTTTATGTGTTGTTTTCGCCTACGCGAAACTAGTATTGTGTCATGTAGTTCTGACCGTTTCATTCAGATTTACGCTCAAGGCAAAAAGCTTACGACATTTTTTTCACAGAACAAGTATGAGATCAAACAGGTCGCTTTTATAAGAAAATCAGACTGAGAAAAATAGTGTTTGTTCGTTTATACAGTTTACATTGCTACTGTAACGTTCGTAATGATGGCATAGCCTTACGAAAAAATTCACTTACGAAAAATAAAGGACACTGCCACCTACGAGGGCGGTTCAATAAGTACCCGTGTTAGAAATGGTGACACCATTTTTTCCAAATATTTCTTTTTATTTTTCAACATAATCTCCTTTCAGAAAGGTACACTTTTCTCACCGTTCCCGCCATTTTTTTAACGCCCCCAAAAAATAGGATTTGTCGAAAAAAAAATACGTCTGCCTCGGCGATGACTTCCTCGTTTGAGCTAAATTTTTCCCTGCGAGCCATTTCTTTATGTCAGTGAACGAGAAAAAGTCGCAGGGGGCCAGATCGGGTGAATATGGGGGGTGCGGCAGCACTTCATAACGCAATTCATGCAGGTTGGCGGCGACCATTCCGGAGGAATGTGCTGGTGCGTTATCTGGTGAAACGGCACTTTTTTTTGTCTGTGTCTCCTTCAATTTTTTTTCGAAGCGGTCCAATAATTCACTATAGTGTCGAGTGATCGTTCTTCTCTTTTCTAAAGAATCCACGAGTATGACGCGGTCCGCTTCCCAAAAAATCGCCGCCATGAGCTTTCCGGCCGATGGGACCGTCTTCGCCTTCTTTGGAGCAGATTCACCGGGAGAAATCCATTGTTTTGATTGTTGCTTAGCTTCTGTTGTCTAATAATGAATCCAAAAAGTCCTTCGGATTTCGCTTAAATTGCTCCAAACGATGCTTCGATGTTAACAGCCGCATCAGCTTGTTGTCCACCGTGAGCAACCGCGGCACCCATCGGGCCGACAATTTTTTCATCTCCATCTTCTCATGTAAAATATTGATTGTCGTTTCGGTCGACATACCTGCGGCCTCTGCTACTTCGCGCACTTTCGTGTGTCGATCAGAGAGAATCATGTCGTGGACCTTTTGAACGATTTCCTCTGTAACCACGTCTGCAGGGCGTCCTGGTCGATCTTTCATCAAAAACGGATATTCGCCCACGTTTATATTGGTTGAACCAATATCTAATTGTGGTTATAGATGGTGAAGTGTCCCCCCATAAACAGCATCCGACTTTGCTATCCAAAAACAAAAAGCGAATTACCGAACGATACTGCTCTTTTTCCATCTTAGCGAAAATCACGAAACATGTGTTACTCGAATGGCTGCCAAATTCAAACTAACCTATCAATCAGTCTGAAATTTCTTGTGCCGTCGTCTGATAGATGACAGCACACGAAGATAGCATTAAACTCCCTCAGGAACGCCCTCTGCCGTCAAACACGGGTACTTATTGAGCCGCCCTCGTACACTTTGTTTTTTTTGTGTTATTATTTGAGCCTTCATGCCAGCGAGTCTGCACATCCCAGAGCAAACTTGCCCCCTATGTCTCAGTCGTGATAATACTATGAATCTCTGTTCTCACCTGATATAGACTTTCTCATGAAAGCCTTATAATTATGTCCGATCTTCTGCACGTGAATGTCGTACTTGGAATCGATATACGGCTCAACGGTGCAATAGGTCTGAGCCACGGCCACTACGCTGGCCATGTCCTGAAAATCGCTGATGTTGTCCACTTTTACCTTGCCTAGGCCACCATGGGCGTGCCCCAACTTTAATACCACCGGAAAACGGGGAGCTGTTATCTGAAACAAAGAAATTCATGTGATATAAAATTTAATAAACCAGATGTATAGAATGTAAATAGTAATGGACCTAATACACTTCCTTGTGGAACACCAGAAATTACATTTTGTAAAGTGGACATTTTGTTAAATATCTTTGTGCATTGGGATCTGCCAGTCAGGTAGTTGTTGAACCACAGTAAGGCATTACTAGATAAACCATAATATTGTAGCTTTTTACATAATACTTCATGGTTGACCATGCCAAATGCCTTAATGTGATGTATCATTAATTATTTGGTACCTGAGAGAAAGGCTTAAGAGAGAAAGGCTTAGAAACTGTTTCGGACTCTGTTATAGATTGTGGATGATCTCATGTCACATCATCTTTGCAATTTTATTGCTAAAACATCGTACTACTCGATCATATATGCATTAATTCTTGTAAACATTTGAGGATTGATATCGAATTTATTTATTATAATGCAGGTGTTCGAAAATTGCCACCGTGCAGAGTCTGCACTAGCAAAACTACAATTCCGTTTATGAACACTCGGTATACAAGTATTAAACACTTCTCAAATTGGATAAGAGTTTTCCGTCTGCAATAGTCACAATCATCGAGTGCATCAAGGCGTCCGGTTTCGGTACTTTTGATCAAGTTTAAGTAGTAGGCTCAAGACTATTATGTAACTGTCTGTGACTGCAGTTACGTTAAGATGCCCTAACACGATGCAGAGTGTGCTATGAACGCGAAATGCCTCACGCGCCTACGCAAACGGTCGTATTTATACGAATATGACTCTTATTCTTACTTCTTTCGCCATTCGGAGGGGAAGTCTGTTTGTCTGTCGCAGTGAAGGATAACCCGCCGCGCAGACAACGTTGCCAGATGGACAGTTACTACCGGTAGAGCAGGGAAAAATGTCTATGGACTAATTGTATGTGCCTGTTTGACTGACTTGATCCGTTTAGTTCCTCTGTTGTACATGTTCGTAACTGACTTTTTTCCCAGATGATTTAAAGTGTGCCGAACTTGATTCTTTATGAACTGCGTTGTGTAGGACGTGCAGAGTCAACCTGCTTGCCGCAAGTTTTTATATGAAGAAGAGGGAGCCCGTCAAGTGAAATCTTCTTGGATGAGGATTTTTTATACGAAAATCGGATTTGTCGATCTAAGCCGTTTTACGAAAATGCGACTCCATGACCATAATCTTTATCGTTCGATATACAGGATGGCGCATCGAAAACGAAACAGACGTATTTACTGGCAGCTCAGTTTTTTTTTGAAAAACGCTCAGACCCGTCGATTTTGTTTTCGAGGGGGACACAAGTTTGGCAAAAAATCACGTTAGCACGTGCAGCCCCTTAAGCGGGGGTGACACCACCCCCAAAATCTTAAATGTAAAGGGGGGTCGAGTGATACCTTATTTTAAAGGTCTTTAAATTCCCTTTATAATGACATAAAATTAATGTGCTTCAGTTCAGTGGTTTTGAAGATTTATTGATTTAAAGCTTAAATAATACTAATACATCAAGTTAAAACCGGAAGTGGGGTGTGTAATGCCTTTGCTGATTTCTTTGCAAGTGTATATGTTAAATCTAAACATTTTTATTTAAACAAGGATGCTAGTCCTATTGATGTTACCTTAATATCCATTGAAAAAATATATCAACAAATAGTGTCCTTAGAAATTAAAAAATCAGTAGGCCCTGACGGCATACATTCTGTATTTATAAACAACTGTTCCGCTAGCTTATGTTTACCACTTAACCTAATTTTCAAACTATCATTAACTCAAAGAGTCTTTCCAACGAGATGGAAAGAAGGTGAAATATTGCCTATTCATAAAGGAGGCGATAGACATCTTGTGGAAAATTATCGACCTACCACTAAACTTTGTATTTTCTCAAAAATGTTTGAAAAGCTGATTTATGATGCTATCTTAAACATTACAAAAAATATCATTACGGAACACCAGCATGGATTTTTCCCTAAAAGATCTGTAGAGACGAATTTGATGAGTTTTATAGAATATGCCTCTCACGCAATAGAAGAGAAACTGCAGGTGGATGTTATT